TTGTCTTAATCCGTAGTAAAAAAAATTAAATATTTGTAGCTGATCTTTGCGATGACGTAATCATATTTATATTTATTTTTGCATACCTTCGTCTATATATCAACCTAGCACTCGATACCACACCTTTGCTTCTTAGATTCTTTGCGCGTGGGGTATTTGATAGTTCTAGTTAGCTTGAATTGTTCACTGAATTTTACTTTAAAATTTCTTTAACTCGTAAATATGTAGGTTGAGACAAATTCTAATACAATAGGCTTGAATTGTAGACAAGTAAAGCCAAACCTTTCACCCCATGGTCATTTCTGGCATGGCATGTTTTGAGTCGCCGTCGTCATCTGTTAGAGGCTCTTTTTCTAGCAGTAAGGAACAATTCGTGGTCCCCGATCCGTCATCGCTCGGTACTCGTGCCGGCATAAACCTTCGAATAAGCCAGTCAGGGAGCCGGTAATCGGATAAGCAAACCGTCACAGAAATGTACTAGAAATACACTTGAGACGTTGCATGCGACCAGAGATAGGCTTCCACAGTTAACTCAGATAACATGGGTTTAATCAATGACACGATCCGTGAAGGCAATATTTGATATCTGCAAGCAAGGGAATGAGAGCTTATTCGCTCTGCTAAGTGAGGTGGTAATGTACATGTTTCTAAGGCTTTGAGAAATAGCGCCTGGAGTGAAATGCACACTGGGACTGGAACCAAGTGAAATCGATCAACCAGAAAGATAAGGAACAATTAAAAGACAATGAGGGCACACATTTTGACGAGTGGAATGTAAACAACACAGAAGTTGTAATAAGGCAGCAGTGGGATAAGAGGGTAAAGAGAGGATAGATAGGCCAGGATGCAGAGGAGTGATAGTGTAATCGTTTTCAGCAGAAAATTTGTCGAGGGATTGACTTCGCTTGTCTCTTTGAAGAGTTCTTAGCTTCGTGTGGAGATCGGCAAGACTTTGATTATGCTGACTATGATGCTGGCGAAACGTTTGAGAATGTGCCAAATCCACTGTCTGATGCTGGGACTCATGACAACTACAATGGCAGACGACTTTGGACCAGGTGCATTCTACTAAGTCGCCCTGAAAACAAGACCAAGTTGCGACAACGAGGTCAACCCACTTCTATAAATCGAAAGGAAGCTGCGACCATACCAAATGGCACAACATCCTGGTCTTAATATCTTTCTCGCTTTTTCACTTCAGGGAACTTGTAGTAGATATTGATGACCTCTATTAATATTTATTCTAAAATTTTTATGATATTTCATAGAGAAAAGTTTATACCCTTCTTCAGGATCGTAGTCTTTTCTGAATCAAAATGTACTGAGAATAAAGAAATGTCGAAAATCAACTGAATACATCCTCAATGAGTATAGCATGCTCGAAGAAGCAATTACCACTGGGGGCTTTGTGCTCATAATATTAAGGAGACACAACCATAACCGTTACCGAATTCGGCATTATGGCCAAATTGACTAAAGATTGACTAGATTTGACTTGAGGTACAGCAGGCGGCCAGATATAAACTTATATAGTTTGCTCAGGGTACACGGGTTGCATCAAAAATATCACACGTGAAGACAATACTTGATATCGACAAGCATGGGAATCAGTGCATAAGCACTGAAGGCCACAATGTATTTGCTACTGAAGGATTGAGGAAGAGTGTCTGAAGTGAAATATATACTTGGACTAGAATTGAGCGAAATCAGGCAAGAAAGACAGGAAACGTATCTACATGCCCAAGAATGAAAGTCGGTAAAGAGGCCAAATTCGAATCACCAAATCGAGAATGAGGTCAAGGTAGACGGTAGATGAGGGCAACACACTAAACTAAGCAAAAAGGGGACAACTTTTGAGGAGTGAAAAATAAACACGTCAGGTTTTGAGAGGACGGGAACGAAAATAGATCATGTGCCAGGACAGATTGAGTAGTGATATCATAACCGTCCTACAGAAGGCTGTTCAGAGTATCTACTTAAGTAGCCTCATTGAAATGTGCTGAGAATTGCAGGTCTCAATGACGATGTCCGCAAAACGTCTGAGAATGTACCAACTCCATGATTCGACATTGGGATCTGTGATAACTACTTTTGCAAAGGACTTCGGACAAGGTTCGTCCAACTAAATCGCTTTCACAACACGACCAATTTGCAAAAATGAAGTCAGATTATTTGTATACATCTAAAGAGGATTGCGTCCAAATTAGGGACCACAACATCTTGCTCTTCATATCTACTATAATTGAGTTGACTTAGATTTTTTACATCCGCTTAAACCTTGAAAAATGTCTCTGAAATGAAGTTCTTTCCACACATTAGGTTATTTGTTTGTCAATGAGATTAGTGAAGTCATTCTTCTTAAACATCCATCTGCAGGACGGTTATACTACCACTACTCAATCTGTCCTGGCACATTATTAATTCACTACACTTTTATCCCATTCCTGTCCTATCAAAACCTCTGGCATGTTTATTTTACACTCCTCTAAATGTGTCATCAAATTATTTTTTTTTAATTTTCGTCCCTTAATCTTCAATTTCTTTTCTTTTAAAAATATTTTTTGATCTAGCTGTTAAATTTTTCCACTTCCGTTATGATGGCTATATATTGTTTATTTTTACCTTTATTCTCCATCCATCTATTCCACCTACCTGCGATCATAACTTTTGGCAATTCCTCTAATTCTCCCATAAGGTTGAAATTGTGTAAACTCTGATACTTGCTTAATCCATATATACTTTGATTCATACCCCAATCTGCTTAATCCTAATTATATATTTGCTTAACCTTTCAGTCGTGCTAACAAACATGCTGAAAGTAGTTCTGGCAGTCCTAAAAAATCGACTCAATTCAATATCAGCGCGTCTATCTCAAATCTTGCTTTGTCCAGCGAGTCCCGGTCTCAAACCAGCACATCTTCTTTTCACTTTAAACACCGTCAGTATCATCACCTTCCTGAAACACGCCTCATTAATAGGCCTGCTATCAGCTCGCGCACCTACCCAAATAAGCTTCAAGCCTGTCACTGCCAATCCCTAAGGAATGCCAGTCCAGAGCCTAGCACTTTCCACAAATCCCCATCTGGCCGAACATTTCTTAACCCTTGCTTCAGGACTCGTTCTCATTCTCGCCAGCTGCAGACAGCCTCCACTTCAGGAGTTGAGTCCACAGAGTTCAGTGCTGACTCGGATATAGAACATACAGTTCCTTCACATTTAATAATAACACCGGCCCGCTGCACACACCTTTCCAATGACGTGGCAGCCAGGCCGAAGGCCAAATCACCAAGGCGGTCAAAGTCCTTACTGGTGGTGAGAGCCCCTTTTTGCAGCTCTTGCAAATTTTCTTATTCTGGTGACTTGAATCTGAAAATTGATGGAAATGCTAATGATGCTTCAGAAAGTTGGTGCTCCTGTTTTCGCTCCACCTTTTCACATTCTGCTGACAATGCCACTTCCA